TCGGTACACCGAAGCCCAGTCGTGCGATGCTTCCTCAACTTTTGTGCGTTTTATGGATGCTGGGAACGGAAGGAAATATTTGGCCACTTTTGGTACTATTGAGTAAAATCCTCGTGGGTCGGTGTCGGATCTCGAACCAGCGCCAGAAGACCACCGCCGCCACCGCCACCACCTCCCGAGAAATAGCATGCACCACACTTATGGGACTAGCACCATGGCAGTTGGCGCGCCCGGAATCACACTGAATGAACGGTTCTGTCTGATCACCTCGTGACTACCCTCGTGTGCCCGATCAGCGCCCTCTTCCCACTGCTCCCCCGCGGCCGCCGCAGCGCTGTGCGTGGGACAGCACTCTGCCTCTGCCTCTGCCTCCCGGTCGCCTCTCCTCCGCCCGTTTGCCTCCGCGGGTCCGCTGTGGCTCCGTGCACGTGTACAAGGGCCGTCCCACTGGCCGGGGCGTCTACGTAAGCGGCCTCCTTCGCCCAATTGCTGTGGCTCTGCCAATAATAATAATAATAATATAATAGGCACAGGTTTTCTCGCACGAGTTATTTTCTGTTTCTGACACATCCACGGATATTTCGATCTTGATATTTGGATACAAAATTGCAAGCGTATCCTCGCCATTTTTGCCAATCATAAACACCAAATGTAGAGCGCTAATATACCTCAATCCCGGCGTATTTGCAACGCTACAGCTGAAAATGACCTTCAAATGAGGAGGAGGAGAGGCACATGGTCCAAGATGTAATTTTTTACGGAACGCATCATAGTATTCGTTAACACATTGTATCGTGAGCCACTTGTGTGTGTGTCTGTTTCTCGTGTCCTAGTGTGTATTGTGGGTGTCCGTGCAATTGGCCTGCGGCCGCTGTTGGCGGGGGCGGGGCGTAGAGGGTAGCCGCCCACTTCCGCCTGTGGCCTGTGCCGCTCCATAATTCATCGCCCATCGCCCGGGCTTCGCGCCCAGCGCCAGCAGCGCAATAGCATGGCGAGGGCGGGTTTTGTCTCTCCTGCCCTTATGGCCCTTTCGCCCTTTCGCTCTTTCGCCCTCGGGCGCCTCCGCTGCCAGGCGGCTTGTTGATCTCCGCGCCGAAGCTTTCGGGAATCGCCGCGGGGGGCGCCAATCCGATTGGCCGAAACGAACAAGTGGACGCTCATTCAACACTAAACTCCACACCAGCAGTATCTAATCTTGTCACGCCGCAGGTCATTATTCTCCTTGAACTCTAAAAACAGTTACTGATTTACATTAGCACTGTGCATCGTTTGCAATCGTTTTCTGTTGAGATATTTCTTCAATTGAATGAAAGTAATGAGTACATTATCTTCCTTCGAGTTTGTGCCGCTATAAACTGCGTAAAATGTTGCAGCAGATCCTCCTTTTTAAATTTCTTCTTTGTTTTTCTAGTACTCCTTCATCCTTGTAATCGGTACTTTTCACACTTATCTTCACGCCTGACTCTTTCACGCTGTTTGTTTTTCTGAAAGCACAAATTTTATCACTTATTTATTTAAAAAAAAGGTTCAATATGAAAGTAACCTGTAACTTTTATGGGGAGGTATAAATATCCACACATTTCCGTGTGACGTCTCAGGCAACCCTCGAAGTAAGTGCGAGGGCGTTCTACCAATGAAGTGTCTTTGCGACGGGACTCTGCCCCTGGAGCCGCTCCCGGGCCTTCCCGGCCGCTTCCGCCTGAGCCTGTTGGCGATGCTTCGCGCCTCTGCCCAACCCTCATCCGACCAGAACGTACTCGGATATCCCCCTCTGCTATCCGCGTGCACCTCCATCGCTCCACCCGCGACCTCGTGGCTCACAGCCCTGCTCCCTTCGCCCGCGCTCGCAGGCTTTAGCCTTTGGTCGTTTGGAGGAAAAGCTGTGCTTAAATCATACATCTTAGTTCAAAGGGGGTAATGGAGTCTCATTGGCTGAGCAGCAGCTTCAAAAATACTGCCGCGTCATTAAGCCCGAAGTGCGATGGGGGCGGGGCTCCCTCGCTGCGCGCTCCGCCCACGCAGCGCTCGTGCGCCCACGGCCGTGGACTATGCGTGCAACTTGGGGATCTGAGGAAGCAGTTCATTTGGGCCTCTGCTCAAATTGAAATAGCGGCTCGTGGCGATGTTTCGTGGCCGGGGGGAGAGCGGCGGTGGAAAGCAGCCGAGGAATCTCGCCTTCTTTAAAAATCACAGCAGATTTTACTAAGGTTTCCCATCGAACCAAATTATAACACGCCGGTTACTATTAGATGTTTACTATTAGAGTGTGCGAGGGGGAGGGGGGTTATATCTTGCAGTCACCTCAAATCATCCCATTCGACGAGCAAGCGAACCATCATAAAGCAGACACAGGGAGAACGAATATGTTCAATCAATTGTCCATGACATGTATAGAATATCGTTCTTTAAACATAACGTTCTCATAATAAGGTGTTTGTGCAGATTCATAAAACCGTTAGATTGAGGATGTGCTTCTCAAAAGGGATTTGTCGATGCAATAGCTGACAGAGTGCCGCAATGCCTACTTAGAACTTGAGGGGCACAAAGTTATAAAGGTTAACGAAGTCTAAGTACAAAAAAAGTGAGAGCTCACACATAGGAGTGAGAACAAAGAAGCACACAACAGGAATCGATTAAAATTGTGAAATGAATATATTATTCTCTGACATTTTAACTCTTATGTGATTGGTAGAGGTCAATTTAAGGCCACATAGCGACGAAGGAAGTGTTGAAAACTTATCTGAGTGCATGATTTTAAGACACGTCGCTTGTTGATTGAGCTGAATTGTGATGAAGCTTTTCTTAGATATGAAACAATGAGGCAGATTCTAATGAAATTGTCGTTGTCTTGTATGGTATTATAAGATATTCAATGTTGGGAAATGAGCGCTGGAATGAGAAGGGTCTGTGTCAATTAAAGGCATTCGCTTCAATTGCAGTCAGTCTGTCCCAAGTACAAAGTTCCGAGCAAGCTGCTCCGTCCCAATGAAGGGAGCACCCATCCGAGAAAGTTGGCGCAACGTTTCGGCGCCGCTCGCGCGGGGGCGGAGGCGGAAGAGGGAGGGCAGCTGCACTCAGGCGCACGGGGCGAGAAAAATATGCCATAGACTAATTATTATTGATTGTCCTATGAAACGATGAGTATTAAAAGTGGAATGAAAGAGGTTTTGCGAGGGAGAAAGGAACGAAGTTTCCGAATCGATCGGCCATGTGCGTGAATTCCGGGGGCGGAGGGGCGGGTGG